CGTGGAGAGCCTCCCCGTTGATGCTTCTCTCTTCGGGGTGATCTACTTCGACGACTTGAAGGTTGACGCTTTTCACTTTCCTTGGACGCCCTTCCTCCTGCACGTGCAGGCTCGCTGCTGCGATTCATCGCAGTATCTAGCTCAGCTAGCATTCGTCCCTCTCATCTGCTATTGAAAAACAGTCTGTTTGACATTCACCCTCGCCCTAAGCTAGTTCAAATCGAGTCTGAATAAGAATAAGTGGACCCACTGGCGTGAGCTCACCCCATTTATTCGTAGGCATGCAGCGACCCCAAGGAAATTTCCTTAACGCTTTTGGCAATCTTCAAACGCCCTCGCCCTATGCCAATTAAAGTGTGCCACAGCCACTTCATGTACTGATTGTTGGCTTGTTAAACAGCCTAATTATCTAAACGGCGATTATGGGCGAATGCCTTGAAGTCCATACGCTGGCTGGGGCAAGGGCAGATTTATTAATCTAACCGGCCGAGCATCTTGGCCCCATGCCGATTAAAGTGTGCCACAACCACTTCATGTACTGATTTTTAGCTTGTTAAACGGCCTAATTATCTAAACGGCGATTATGGACGAATGCCTTGAAGTCCATGCCCTGGCTGGGGCAAGGGCAGATTTATTAATCTAACCGGCCGAGTATCTTGGCCCTATGCCGATTAAAGTGTGCCACAGCCACTTCATGTACTGATTTTTTTGCTTTTTAAACGGCCTATCATCTAGTCGGCAAGTATACAAAACGTTTTATCCAAAACAGCAACCAAACAATTCCGTTCATTAGTAACAGCAAAGTACAAAATGAATTTTCATTAAGTAAATTAGGCACAATTTGTAATCATTTTACATATGAAAATTACTAGACAAAAGCTATAAAAAGCTGAAAATTACATGCAAATCCTAAAACAAAAAACAAGAGTCGCCCAAATTAGTCCTCGGAGTCAGACTCTAGCAGCTCAACATCCACTTGCTCGTATAGAATTGGCATAGCCAATGTCACATCAGCAGCAGCAAGGGCTTTGAGCCAGCCGTGTTTAAATCCCCGATTCTCAAATTTGGGGACTTCGTCTACGTATTCATCAAAAGCAGTTTTTTTCCCAACATCGAATGCGCTGGAAGCCTTCAGGTCGGCCGTTTCCTTCGCCACTTTCATCTCTTCCAAACCAGCCTCCAATTTAGAGATCGCCTCCTGGGCCAATTTAAGCGCGTCATTGCTCGCATCTGCCATTTTTTCGGCGACTGATCTCAATTCTTCAGCATTGCGAGCTCTCTCCATCTCGGCCTCAGCACGGGCACCCTCCATCTGCGCCCTACTCCTTTGGCCCTCAACCTCCGCTTGTAAATGGCCAATTAGCTCGACGGCATCGTGATAGCGACGACCCATGTCGGCTATTCTTCCGACGGCTTGCAAAACAGGAAGATAAGAACAAAATAATATTTGCGTAAAGAGAAAAGACAAAGTGCAGATATATACCAAAAGAGCCGATTGCACAGTCAACCCAATTGCAACCAGATCCGGCTCTGCCCAAAAAGCTGCCTTGTCAACAAGCAGACGTCGCCAAGCTGAGTGCAACTGCTGGATCTTTGATCACCGAATCATCAGAGGAGATCGGCATATTCTTTATCTTGGGCTGGATAACAAAAGGTACGATCACATTCGACTCCTCCAAACGAGGTCGTTTGTCGGCACATTTTTCCGAGCCGGCCTCGACATCAGCAGGGTGTTTCTCCACCTTTTGCTCAGCTTCCATACTTGCCTGCACAAAAGGTTCTACCTTGGTACTTCCGTTCTTTGTTGTCCCCTTGATAATAGGCAAGGAGGTTTGAGACTGAGATTCGGCAGCCCGAATCTCCTCCGCCCTTCGCCGTGCGACCATCCTTTTCTTCTGGAAACGTGCCGGGAAGGTCCTCTAGACCGTGAAAAATATCGTCGAGCGGACGGTCCTCCTGACCCGAAGTGGACGGAGGATCAACTGAATTAAGGTCGGCTTCTTCAGATGCTAACTTCAAAGCCTCGTCAACCTCAGTTTCGGATTGGTCTGACTCGGCGGCCTCAGCTATTTTCGGTCGCTCCGAATCTGATCCCTCACGACCGATTTGCCTTAAATTTCTGAAATCAGTCAAGATAAGGGTGATAAGACACTCCTCACCCTTCGAAATTAGAATGTTCTCCACCGCTGAAAAGGTTGTATAAGTCGGCTTGTAGCGGAGTAGAACGTGGGCCGCCCTCCCTTGCTTTTGAAGACTCGGTCGGCCGAAATACTTAAGCGCAGTCTTGATTTCCGAAAAAACGGCATCGTCGGTCAATATCAAGATTTTCTTCAAATCGTTTCCTGTAAAAGCAAAACCATGAGGTCCCGAAAATAAAGTTTAATAAATATAACAAGTAAATAAATAAAAGAAGATACTCGGCCACCTGGTTCGCCCCTCCGTCTAGGAATACGATCAAGGCAATCTTCACCTTCGCCGAATTCCCAGTTTCCTTGGACGACTACCATAACATCATCGACTCACTTTCCAGAGCTGGAAAGCATAGTCACTAGTTGATGGTCGGTGTCTTTGGCCCTAAGGAAATAACGCCCGTGCCGACCAGAGAACTTGGCCAAGGCGTAGCAATGCCGAATAGCGGGAATGCCAAGGTTAAGTCTAAGGCGGCGATTTAGTGCGATAATCCCATCACAATCCTATAGAAGTTGACGTTGGGTTGGGAAGGAATTAACCCCCAATGGCAAAGCACGACCCTAAGGAGAGGGTGAAGGGGAAAATGGACCCCACCCTCTGCTATTGATAGAAGAGGGAAGACAACCGTGGTCTCATTATCCCTCTCCATATCAAGGGTGCCGTCTGCCACAAATGACAGACGAACATCATCAGGAATGGAAAAATGGCGTCGGAAGCTAGAAATTCGATCTGGTGAGAGGAGATCTTTTAAATGTTTCACCATTTCCCCAGCCAATAGGATTATGCTAAGCCAAAAAAAAAAACAAAGCAGAGAAGGAGAGAACTTACAAGAGGCGAAGGAGATAGAGAAGAGTAGGAAGTTGCAGAGGTAGTTCGGAAAGCAATCCAACGACGGGCGTCTAAAAGCATGTATGCATTTGAAAAGACGTCGAAATTTCAAATCGCAATAGATAGAAACGTACGAAGAGGTGGGAAGTTAAAATGATAACCGGGAAGCGTGTGTACAAACATTTGCGTTGGAATACGGTCAGCCGTTGAATTTCAGCTCTCACTCTTCGAGTTCGAAACCAAACTTTCCAGCCAACTATCGTTAGTGGAGTGCTTGGGGGGCAATTGTGTGAGCCAAGAAGAGGGAGTCGTAAAGATTCCAGATAGTCGAATCCCAGAAAGTCGAGATTCAAAGCACTCAACAATTGGCTCCCATGTTCAAATCCAACCCTATTCGGCCAAATTGCCAATTAGGCAAGAGGCCGAGTGAGGGTCGGTTTATTATAAGATGTGCCGAATATGAGTTGGAAATGGACCTAATCCTGAAGACCATGGAAGAAAAGATATAAATAGAAGAACATCAGCCAGAAAGAGGTATGTAAGAATTGTAATGCTTAACTTAGAATAAAAGTATTCCTGAGTGTGGTTACTAACTTATCCGTCGGAGTGCTAATTCCGGCACCCCTGCCGGAGTGCATATTCATTTTCAGGTGACCGGAAGAGGATCACGAGCGTTTTCCAGGATCAGAAGAGTATTTCTAAACCACTTCTCCACAAATATCATATTAAAAAACAAATTACAACCAATTATGTCACTTTCATTGTGTAAGTATAGCCTATTCAAATGGAAAATATTATAGATTCCAAATAATTTATCAATTTTTTCATTGTGTAAGTATAACCTGTTCAAATGGAAAATATTATAGATTCTATAATTTATCAATTTTTTATATGGGTGTGAGATCCACACAAAATCACATATGTGTGGATCTCATATCCATATAAAAAATTTGATAAAAAATTTAATAAATCATTTAAGTCCTTTAACATAACCCAGTTTAAATAGTTCCAACCTACCAAACAATTATTATATTAAATTCTACTCACCAAAAAAAAAAAAAAAAAAAAAAAAAAAAAGCGCCTCCAAAACTGGTCTAGATTTTAGATTTTTTTTAAGAATATGGGTATTCTAGATTTTAGATACACCCCCATCTATCTGTATACAAAAATGACCATGATTTATTTTTCATAAACTTATTTCAGAATTTTAAAAAATTAAAAATTAATTTTGTGAAAAAATTAAAAAAATATTTATCATTTTTATATAATTTTATTTTTTAGGCGGATAGAAATAATTTTACAGCCAAAGGCCACAATGGTGCCATTTGGGAAGAAAAATAAAAGCTGCGTTTTACAGCTTGCAAAAAATGTCAAAAAATTACTTTTTTGACATTAAAATTATTTCGGAACATGGTTAAAAGCTAGTTATGAAATTACAATTATACCTTTCATATTTACATTTTGTGGACTAGGAGCAAAATCTTTGAATGGAGATATTTTGGTCATTTGAATGTGATGTGACAGCATAAATAAATATTAATAAAAAAAATTAAAAAATAAATTTTTATCAACTTCTCAAATGACTTTTAAAAAAAATCAAAATACTTAATTAAAAGTGAAAAATCAACTTTTAATTGTCTTCCTAAAATGCTAACGTGCAAGAAGTCGTCCAACTAAATTTCTGTCATCATCCAACTCCTACTTGTCAGAGTTGTGTTTTTAGGATAATATTAGGGATATTAAGAGGTGTTTTGGGAAGTAAATAAAAAATTAACTTTTAATTTCTTCTAAATAAATTATCAAATACCTCATATTGATATAAAGTTTATAATTTTATAAATCGCACACTTATATAAAATATTTAATTATTTATTTAGTAAAAAATTTAAAAACTCAAACATTTTCCGGGTTTTTATCAACATCTCTCTCTTTTGATTGGATCGAAATGCTCTATTTAAACCCTCATCTAATTGGAACCCAACTAAACTAACAGTCTTATGTCGTACTACTGGATAGATAGCAACTACACCCAAACACACCTTAGAGGAGCTCATCATCGTAAGCAAGCACAGACTTGGCACAGTGATGTCTACCCAACAACACAAATGGAGAAGATTCCTCAACTTCCTAACCCTCTTCTTCTTCTTCTTCATCAGATCATCATCATCATCATCATCAACATCATCATCATCCACTTCTCAACCAATCACATCAAACCACCCACATCTCCAATTCCCCTGTTCCCCACCCCACCACAACTCCTACCCTTTCTGCAACACCTCTCTCCCCATCAAACCCAGAGCCCAATCTCTCATCTCTCTCCTCTCCCTCTCCGAGAAGATCCAACAGCTCTGTAACAACGCCACTTCCGTGCTGGCAGAGCGTACCTCCTTCATACGAGTGGTGGTCCGAGTCTCTCCACGGGATTGCCTCCAGTGGCCCCGGAATCACCTTCAATGGCTCCATTCAATCCGCCACTAGCTTCCCCCAAGTCCTCCTCACCTCCGCCTCCTTCAATACAACTCTCTGGCGGTTGATTGCCGCCGCGATTGCGGTTGAGGGCAGAGCCATGTACAATCTTGGCCAAGCTGGCTTGACATTTTGGGCTCCCAATATTAATATTTTTAGGGACCCCAGATGGGGGAGAGGGCAGGAGACTCCCGGGGAAGATCCCATGCTCGCCTCCGCCTTTGCTATCGAGTTTGTGAGGGGGTTTCAGGGAGAGAATTGGAGGGTTGGTGCTGGAATTGGAATTGGGCTTGGTGAGAAGAGAGTGTTAGCAGATGGTGATGATGGTGGTGATGGGTTGATGTTGTCTGCTTGTTGTAAGCATTTCACTGCTTATGATTTGGAGAATTGGGGGACTTTCACCAGATATAACTTCAATGCTGTGGTAAGAGTGCCTGTATCAGTTCTCAACTTCATTTTCTATGTTTCTTTGACAATTTTAGAAGCTCTATTAGATTCTGTGGATTTTCAGTAATTTTGGACCTTCATTCTGTGATATAGTTTGTTCATACTGAATGCTGAACTATTGCTTTGATAGGAACGGATAATTGGAAAACCCCAATACCATAAACTTCATAGCTAACATGTGTACATTCCAAGCAATTAAATATCAAATGAAACATGGGATCACAAAGGCAATAAACGAGCGAAGCTACATGAGCTTGACTTAGGTTCATCTTGTTAAAGCTTGTTCGAGCTAGGTTCGTTGCATAAACAAATCAAGTTTTAACATATTTTGAAGCGTGTTAAGTTTATATACACTATAAGACTATGAAAAACTAAACTATTTGAGCTCAACTCACTGAATTGACTTGATCAAAACCTGCTTGACATCAACTTGAAACATAGACAAACCAAGCTTCTTGTTAAATTTTCAAAACAAGGTCCGAATAATCTGCTACTTATATTGACTCGGTTCATTTACAGCCCTAGGATCACTATTGGAGCAGTAAGTTTCAACTTGATTAGAATATCCAAAATGTTAACGCACGTTAGATATTAAAATTTTAGCAGAGTGATTTAGACAAATTAATGGAACACTTAAAAACCATATTAATGACAATAATTCAAGTTGTGTGGAGCTACTGGGAGCATTTTAAAGAAGAATCTAACTCGGTATTATCAGATGCTTAAGAGAATGGGGATGTGATATTTTCTTATCCTATAATTCAATGTGGCTAAATATAGTTTCCTTAGATGTCTAAATTGACTTCAATTGTGCAGTAGTACTTGAAACTTATTTATCTCCATATTCAGGTTTCACAGCAGGATTTAGAGGACACATATCAGCCACCATTTAGGAGTTGTATTCAACAAGGCAAAGCAAGTTGCTTAATGTGCTCGTACAATGCGGTTAATGGAATACCAGCGTGTGCGGATAAAGAACTCTTGCAAACAGCTCGAGACAAATGGGGGTTCAAAGGGTAATTGATATATTACAAAACCTCATTATTTAATAAAGATAACGCAACCTGTAATTCAAATGAGACTGACCATTAGACTCATACATAATCCTCTCAATGGCACAATTTCAGATATATTCCCTCTGACTGTGATGCTGTGGCCACCATTTACGAATATCAGAATTATGCCAAAACTCCTGAAGATGCAGCAGCTCTTGTTCTTAAAGCAGGTTTCTTTTTCGTTTTCTCTCTTTTTGGACATTTAACCTTTATGCATCGTCAAGTGGTACCTGTAAAAGTTTCCCAAGAGTTGATATATATATATATGTATATATTTTGCAGGAGTGGATATTAACTGTGGAACATATCTTCTTCGGTACACTCAAGCTGCCATAAAACAGGGGAAGGTGGAAGAAGAAGACGTAGAGAGAGCTCTTCTCAATTTGTTTTCAGTTCAAATTCGTCTTGGGCTTTTTGATGGAGACCCTATAAAGAGGCAGTTTGGAAAGTTAGGACCTCAACATGTTTGCAGTTCAGAGCACAAGGCACTAGCACTTGAAGCAGCAAGGCAAGGAATTGTGCTTCTAAAGAATGAGAAGAAGTTTTTGCCATTAAACAAGAATAAAATGTCTTCCTTGGCTGTTATCGGTCCAATGGCAAACAGCACCCAATTGGGTGGCGGCTACACAGGTTCAATTGTTTTGCATGTAACAATTGGCTGTTATAGGCGTGTTTGATTGAATATCTTTGCTTGCATATCTTCTTGAGCATTTGATGGTCTCACATTAATTTGTCGATGATTGAAAGCTGATTTAATTACCCAATCTTTTCATGCACAAATTGATAATAAATTAATTATTTGGTGGCAATAAATGATATTGAACTATTGTTAAAATTCTTGTTATTGATTTCGGAATATGATAGTATATGCTTCATTATTGATTTCTCTTTTGAGTTGTTAGAATTTTTGCTGAAATATGTCATTACTGTTAGCCTTCTGATTTTTTTTCTTTTTAAAGTTCTTCTTCTCCGCCAAATAATCGGAGAACTCTAGTTTGATGCTGTGCTGATGTAGTTTCAGGATTTTCTGAATTGTAGGAGTTCCATGTAGCCCAAAGAGCCTTCTTGATGCATTTCAGGCATATGCAAAGAAAACATCATATGCAGCTGGTTGCCTTGATGGTGTACCTTGCTATTCCAATGCTGGATTTATTGAGGCTCTTTCTATTGCCAAAGAAGCTGACTTTGTCATTGTAGTAGCTGGCCTGGATTTGTCCCAAGAAACCGAAGACCATGACCGGTACAGTCTTCTCTTGCCCGGTTATCAGATGGCTCTTGTTACCACTATTGCTTCCGTAAGTAAAAAACCATTGGTTTTAGTGCTTACTGGCGGTGGACCACTTGATGTGTCGTTTGCCGAGGGGGACTCAAAGATTGCAAGTATTCTTTGGATTGGTTACCCTGGAGAGACTGGTGGAAAGGCACTCGCAGAGGTCATCTTTGGAGATTACAATCCAGGTTGGTGTAAAGAACTTTTAATTTTGTAACCCAAAAAAATAAATGAGAGAACTTTTGATTTTGTTAGGAAGACAATACCTAGACTCTGAATGAAAAAGGAACCATCTCGCTTTGTTTCTTATAGAATGGCTGAAACCATTTGCTTGAATGTCACTGAATAGACATTCTCGAAACCCTAACATGATCTGAAATTTGAAAATGACTCAATTTAGCAAGGGGGATTTGGTGACAAACGCCTCACTGTCTAATTTATCTTTCAAAAGGACAAGAATTATATAGGTATTTTCAAAACCCCCTAATATTTTAAAACTTGTTTCTTTTACTATATTACCCTCATATCTATCAGCTCTCATATTAAGTCATCTTTACAGTGTATTTCAGAGTAAAATTTACTTTAAATCATATTAAACTTTACTCTGATTTAGAGTAAAGTTTACTATGATTCAAAGTAAAATTCTATATTTTTTAAGCAAATCAACATGTTTTTTGTCACAACGCAGACCTGCCCCTAAAAGTTTAGACCATGACCGGCCTTTACTTAGGCTTCAAAGACAAAATTTCAAAATATTTAAATGACATCGGGGCCTAAAGCGGAAGCAAATCAAATAGAAATGTTCATTGAGCTTGTGCATACATGATAATTGAAATACTTAAAACAATGAAAACATACTAATATACATATATATACATATATATATATATATATATCACCCACATATACATAAAACTTAAGTAAATACAAGATTCTAACAATGCAAGGTTAAAGCCTCGACAAGGAGGCGCATCTTGGATGGCTTGACTTAGCAGGTTCACAAAAGGAACTCCTGAGGCTGAGCTAAGGATAGTCTCCGGATTGATCACCTACATACAGGTAAAATACAGAGTGAGCGAAGTTCAATGAGTAATAATAAAGTGAAGTGAATCAAGTAAATAATCTAGATTCAAAAGAAGTATAACACAATTCTCTTCTACATTTACACCATTCACAACATTAACCATAATTGTATTTGCAATACGGCCTTAGGCCTACTACATAACAAAACGGCCTTGAGCGCAATCATATATCAAAACGGCCTCAGGTCCAATCATATATCAAAATGGCCTCGGGCCCAATTGAATATCAAAACGGCCTCGGACCCAATTCATGTATGTATGTATGGACCCAAGAGGGGTTTCGTACGGATTCTAGAGGTGACTCTCACTGTAGCACTTAGTTCCGTACAACACTTTATTCCTTACCAAAGTTAGTAAGTTTTTAAAGACCGAACAATTCATATCATGCCATAACTTAAGCGGAACGGATAAACAGAACGGCCTTAAGCCCATTTCATATGCCATTGTTCCTACTTGTACCATTGCCCAGTCATTTCCATTCACTTATAATTTGTTTAACGCATGCCACTCACGAGCTAAAATACATGAAACATAACACCACTTACCCCAAAATATGTCATTCTCAATCATAATACATAAACCACAGTATAAGTTATCTCGAACGTGTCAAGCACAATTGAAGTACGATAATTCATAATCAGAAATACGGAAATAAACATGTCATTACACTATTATTTCTCAGAGTGAGCGGTGCACGATAATCCCCTCCTGTATGTGCCCTACACATAGCACACGATTCGTAAGTATATCATCTTTCCTTAGTTTCTTCTTCTCAATTATCTGATTCGTTAGGTTTCATGTAATTAAGTGCACTATAGGAGCTTTGAACTTAGTTGCAGGAATCGTGCTACCAGGTCACGAATCTTTGTAAGAAACACAATTCCAGGTTTCTTAGAAAGAAACGTGTAGGAATCGCGTTTCTGTAGAGAGAGACGCGATCCTGTCCAAGATGGGATCGTTGGTGGCTATGAACAAAAACCCTAGCTTGTTGGTCAACAAAGAGAGAGAGGAGAAAGAAGGTGAAGAAGAACCTGAAGGCAAAGAAAGAGAGAGACGCGATCCTTTGCTTCGTTTTTCTTCTTCTTTCATCACTTCGAAGGCCGTCTCTCTCTCTCTCTCTCTGTGTGTGTTTTCGTCTCTATCGCAGTTCGTCTCTCTCTCTTTCTCTCTCGCAGATCGTCTCCTTTCTGATCGTCATCGTCTCATCTGCCTTCGTCTTTGCCTTCTCTCACTCGTGCTCTCTCTCTCTCTGGCCTTCTGTAATGTCACAATATATATCTAATAATATATAAGTAAAATATATATATATATATATAAGATAAAACATATAAAATCTTTAAATAAATATATATATTTAAAAAATAAAAAAATAAAAAACATTAACACATTATTATTTAATATATATCATATAAAAATATTAATATATATAACCTTATTTTATAATATATTTACATAAAAAAAACATTAACACATATAAATATAATATATATATATATATGAGTATATATTATACATGTTAATAAAAAACACACACACATATATGTAAAATAAAATAAAAATAAATTAACAATAACACATTATTTAAAAAATATAATAAATAATAACATAATTAATGTGTATTAAAATAAAAATATTTATAAAAAAACTTCTAATATGTATTAAAAAATATATATATATATATATTACCGCTTCCCGAGGCGTTCCCAACCTAATAAACTTCTATCGGCTCACACTTCCTCGCTCCCGCTCCCGCTCCCGCTTCCGCTTCCGCTTCGTGCAACTAAGGCTTTGAACGAACATAACAACACATTCAGAGGGTCAAAAAGAGCGACAGAAAACTTCAGAATTTCCTAGCTTGGGCCGCGTGTGCGGAAGTCCCCACTGCACGTGCGGGTAGGTGCGCCACACGTGCTTTTATTGCAGTGTAGCCCAATCTTCCTTCACTGTTTTCCGCACGTGCGGTCGTGTACCCTGTTTGGCAGTTCGAAACTGTAGTAAATTCAAGCCTTTTTCAAGGCATCCTCAAGGCTTGATTCAACAATTTCACTTCCATAATATGACATAATTATGACAAACATGAAATCTATACTCAAATGGGTCATAACTCATTTTACTTGACATTTACAATTCTAATTTCCATTATTCCTTCATCTTCTTCATCTTGGTATATATATCCAAACATATACATACATATATGTATGAGTTCAAAACATGCCAAAAAAACAAAGATGAAAAGGAAGTGACCCACACCCTGACTCAAAACAACCCAAAATACAAGAATTAACCCTTAAATTAGCTAAATCCAATGATTACCTCTTCAATTCCATGAAATTGGTTAAGTTGAGATGATAACCCAAAACCCTACTCCCATACATGTAGAAAACTTCATTTTAAGGTTTGATTCTAACCAATTAAAGAAAGATTTATGATATGTAAAACTTTCTTTGAGCTATCTTCTTGATTTCCCCTTCCAATTTCTCAAACCACAAGCTTTAAGGTGAGCTCTCTCCTTCTCTCTCTTTTCTCCTCCTCTCACTCTTTTCCAGGAGATGTTTTGGTGTTTGGTTGAGTCTATACAGCATATAAGGCTCAAAAATATATATAAACAAGTCTATGTATCCATATGGCCTATCAAACCTAACTTAGCGAATCAGACGAAATTACTTTTCAATTAAACTTCACAAGTGAATCTAAAAATTATACTGATCATAATTATGTATTCCGTTCTGGTTTGTGAAGCCTCTATGACCTTCAATTTGCAGTGCAAAGTTAACTACCCAAACATACCTTAACGAATCAGACAAATCAGATTTTCAATTAACTTTCCCAATTGGCTCTAAAAATTCCCGCTAACATATCCATGCATTCTATTTCGGTTTCTGAACCCATGCAGGTCGGCAATTTCAGTTTTAAAGTTGTAACTCAACAAATAATTTTTCAATTCAAATAGATATCATTAAATTAAGGCACATTAACCCATAATTAAATAAAGATAATTTATGATACGCATTTCGGGGTCGTTACATTTTTAATCAGAGAAAATTTCAGAGTAAAATTTTACTTTGAATCATAGTAAACTTTACTTTGATTCAGAGTAAAATTTTATTCTGAATCAGAATAAAGTTTACTATGATTCAAAGTAAAATTTTATATCGTTAAGCAAATCAACATGTTTTTAACCAGAGTAAAGTTTTATTCTGATTCAGAGTAAAATTTTACTCTAAAAGTACAATTTTACTTTCATTGTATAATTCAAATCTGCAATGAATTGATAGTAAAATTATACTGTCACTAGGAGTCCAAAAACAAATAACATAAGTACACAATAACAGAGTAAAAGTTTACTATCATTGTATAAAAAATAATAAAAAACAGAACAAATAACACCAAAGTAAAAGTTTACTCTTATTTTATCACACAAAAATAGAGTACATACCAGAGTAAAATTTTACTCTCATTTTATCAAACAAAAACAGAGCACAAACCAGAGTAAAATTTTACTCTCATTCTGTCAAGCAATAACGGAGCACAAACCAAAATAAAATTTTACTTTCATTCTGTTAAACAAAAACAGAGCACAAATCAGAATAAAATGTTACTCTCATTCTGTCAAACAAAAACTAGAGCACACACCTGATTGAACTCGACAAATCAACAAAAATAAATCTAAATCAAAAACAAAAACAAAAAAATTAATCAACATATATCGAAGATCAAATAGTGACATCGAACCAAAGGTGAGGGTCAAGTCATTAATCCAGATCATAGGCAAAATTTTGAGCTACAAGGTCGACTCTAAATCAAAACTCAAAATCGAGTTCGTAATGGTGAAATCACACCAAATTCGAAATGACACAAACCAGATCTAAGATGTTATTAGTCGAATCCAAATCTGAGATGTTATAAGTTAAATCAATCTTACCCAAGCCTCTTAAGCATAGATCACAAACTCAAATTAGAGTTCCTCTCAGATCACAAATTGAACTGAGGATTGAAGGAAGAGGGAGAACCTTTGTTAGAATTTCAGTCCGGTAAAAAGTGAATGGAGTATGGTAGAGGTACATGAAGCCTCTGGTTTCTTCAATTTTAGAGTTTCCAGAAGAGAAATGGAAGGCTTGACTGACATTGGATGCGGAGGAGGGGGTGGCACCGGGAATCATGGCGGTTGGTGGTCGGAATACATTGGCGGACGATGCTCTGGCGGCTGAGGTAGCCTCTGACATGGCTATGAAGAGAAGTTGTGTTTAGAGGGGGAGGAGAGAGACGGAGAAAGTGGGGAGAGAGTGGGGGGAGAAGATGGGAAGATTTAGTTGAGGGTATATTGTCTGATAAAATATTTAAATAATAAATTTTGTCCTTTATGCAAGATTTTATAATTATGAGGGGGTTGAGAAAGTATAATTTTTTTCTTAGTCCTTTTAACAATGAAAGGAAGGTAAGGGAGGTTTATAGCCAAATTTCCCATTTAGCAATATAATAATTAATTTTTTTGTAACTATTTGTATATAACTTGGTGTTGACATGTAGTTTCTGGAATAAAACAGGTGGAAGACTGCCCATGACCTGGTATCCCGAATCATTCACCAGCGTACCAATGAACGACATGAACATGCGAGCTGATCCTTCTCGTGGTTATCCTGGAAGAACTTATCGATTCTACACTGGAGATAGAGTATACGGATTTGGACATGGCTTAAGCTATACAAATTTCACCTACAAGCTCTTGTCAGCACCAAACAAATTGATATTATTGGCATCAACTAAGGCTGAATCCAGAAAGAACATGACACAACAAAGAGGATACAAGCTTGATTATATTCACATTGATGAGGTGGAATATTGTGATTCGTTGATATTCCACATATCTGTTACAAATAATGGCGACATGGATGGAAGCCATGTCGTGATGTTGTTTTCTAGAGTGCCAAATTTTTTTAAAGGTGCTCCGGAAAAACAACTAATTGGGTTCGAACGCGTGCATACTATTTCTTACAGGTCTACTGAAACGAGCATCGTAGTAGATCCTTGTAAACATCTTAGCATTGCGAATGAGTATGGAAGAAGAATATTGCCATTGGGCAAACATACGCTAATGCTATCAGATATAGAGCATATTGTTTCGATTGAGACACAATAAAAGTGTTTTTGAAATTCATTCAAACTGCTTTAAATTTGTAACTCAACATTATTTTCCTATTCCTTGGAATGTGCATTATTGAGAAAACATCAGCCATTCTTTGTATTTAACATTCAAATGTTTGTAGAACATAAGCTTATGCAGAAAGCAAAGAAAGAACGATGATGAAGCAGCAGCTGCTGCATTCTTGTATTCTTGTGTTCGAATTTGCAGAAATTTGATCAATAAACAAATTTGTTGGATTGGGTTGATCTGATTTATTTCAATTGTGGTCTACATCATATCAAATAAATTTTACATTTTGAATTTTTTACACGTAGATGATAGTCTTTTTTGTTTTAGTAAAGGCTCTGAGAGAGAGAGAGAGAGAGAGAGAGGGAGAGGGGTTGCTTTTTATGCTTTAGTTTTGCAATCCGTGAACCAAGCAACCAACCATATTGCATGACTCTTCTTCTGAATTGGATGTGTCCGAATAATAATAATAATCTATCAGATGAATTCCGTGTTTGAGAAATAGGTCCCTTACTTGTAGTTTGAGAGGAAACTAGAACACATCTACAACCAAAACTCCTTCCATTTACATACACAAGTCCATTCTTGTCTTTTTGCATTGTTTGATGAAGCCAAACAAGATGCTTCTCTACTAAAATAAAGTTTGCCAATTGTGTTTGTCCTTTGGATTGATTAGAGATACAATAAAAAAATCAAAATTAAAATATTATAAACTAAAATAATATTTTTTTTAAATATACACAAAAAAAAAGAAGAAGATATATTAGAGGTCGTAGTCTACCAAAGGTAGGCATTGTCTATTTCAACATAATTTTTTCTTTAAGAAAGTATATTTAAAAGCACCCAAAACCAAAAGGGTACAATCGGTCTCTATCAAAATCCAAAGAAAGTGCTTTTTTATCTAATGAAAAAAAAGGGGGGACAAGGAAAATTAACAAAATGGAAAAAGCAAACCAAAAATAGTGAGAATGGAAAAATATAAAAATAAAAATAAAATAGGAGGGGTAGAAAACAACGAAGATATGAGACTTCAAGAGAAAATATAATTTTTTCTTGCATGTTTGGATAGTAGCATGGAACATGCAAGATAAAATGAGAATCTCATTTCGAATTTCCTTCATTTTCTTGTTTAAGTGATTTTTAGTTTGATTTCTTAGACAAAATGAAATTACCGCACTAAATGAGACTTTATTATCATTTTTCACATCCTTATGGAAATCTAACATCAATTTGTTTAAGAATAAATAACTAGATAGGTTCATAATAGTATTTAAAATTATATTATATTTTACAAAAAAAATTAGGAATTTTTATTGATAAATCCCATTTAGAAGTGTTTTAACCCAAGAAGTTCATGAACGAATTTGTTAACCCATTTAGTCCCATGTATGTATAGTTTTATTCCATAAAGTACTTTTTCTTGATTTACACTATTTTCTTGGACACTTATGCCCTTATATTTAATTTTGATACCCTTATAAATATTTTTTGAACGGTTAGCAATTTTATGATGTGAATATTCATATTTTAAAATTCACATTGGTAGGAATGTAAAATTGGCCCGTGGGCTGCCCGAAACCCACTAGCAAGCCGGGGTGGGCCCGGCCCATTGACAATGTGAATATTCGCATTGATATGTTAACATTCACATTAATAGGAGTGTAAAATTGGCCTGCGTTCCATGGCGGCGCGAAACCCACCGGCGGCCCATGAGCGGCCCGGGGCGAGCCCGGTCCGGCCCGTTGACAATGTGAATATTCACATTGACATGTTAACATTCACATTGATAAAAGTATAAAATTGGCCAACGGCCCAAGGCGGGCCCGACCCGGCCCGTTGACAATGTGAATATTCACATTGACATGTTAACATTCACATTGATAAAAGTGTAAAATTGGCTCGCAGCCCATGGATGGCCCAAAGCCCGACCGCAGCCCGACCCGTGACATTGTGAATATTCACATTGACATGTTAACATTAACATTGATAGGAGTGTAAAATTTGCCCGCTGCCCGAAGCTTGCCCGCGGCCCGGGGTAGGCTAGGCCCGGCCCGTTGACAATGTGAATATTCACATTGACAGGTTAACATGCACATTGATAGGAATGTAGAATTGACCCGCGGCCCGTGGGCTGCCCGAAACCTGCCCAAGGCCCGGGGCAAGCTCGTTTGGGTCCGGACCTGAGCCGGTGGGTCGGGCCGATGGACCTGGGCCTAGCCTCAGGCTTGGGTTGGGCTTGGGTGGATCTGGCCATTTTTTTTTAATTCTTTTTAATTATTTCTACCAAAATTTTATTATTTTTCACAAAAAAGACATTAGGCCTCAGCGCGAACCGAGCCTCAGACCGAGCCTTGAATGGGCCTTAACCGGGCCGATGGGCTGGGCCGGGCTTTAAAGTGATGGCCCAGGCCCTAGCCTAGGGTCTCAGACTAGGCTCAAGCCCGAGCTCAAACAAGCCTTTCCCGAGCCGCGGGTGGGCTTCGGGCAGCCTACGTTCTTTTTGACTATTCCATTAAGTCCTATTTGAGGTAAGAAGACCAAAATACCATTTTCATCTACTTATATTCTATTTAGTCCACATTATTTTCTTATGTTTCAATAAGTTCTATGGGAGATATAATTACCAAAATACCCATAATGTGAATGTTCACATCGTCAATGTGAATGTTCATATCATCAATGCGTAGAGGCCCGGGCTGGCCCATATCGAGCCTCGTGGGTGTCCGGAAAAATTCGGGCCGACCCGGCCCGGCTTGGCCCACGGGCCAAAAAATTAGGCCCAGGCCCTAGCCCTGGCACAAGGGTATTCGGGCTTTGGACGGGCCGATGGATCGAGCCTCGAGTCGGGCCGGTGGGCTTGGGCCTAGTCTCGAGCTTAGGTCAGGCTTGGGCTGGCCTGGCCAGGCCATTTTTTTAAAATTCTTTTAAATTTTTTCTACCAAAATTTTATTATTTTCCACAAAAAAAGACATTGCGTCTCGGGCGGGCTGCACCTCGGACCGAGCCTTGAATGGCCCTTAAACGGGCTGATGGGCCGGGCCAGGCGTCAAAGTGATGGCCTAGGCCCTAGCCTAGGGTCTCGGACATGCTCGGGCCCGGACTCAAACGAGCCTGCTCCAGGCCGTAAGCGGGCTTCGGGTAGCCCACGGGCCTCGGGCCAATTCTACATTCCTATCAATGTGCATGTTAACATGTCAATGTGAATATTCACATTGTCAACGAGCCGGGCCGGGTCTACCTCGGACCGCGGGCAAGTTTCGGGCAGCGGGCAAATTTTACACTCCTATCAATGTTAATGTTAACATGTCAATGTGAATATTCACATTGTCACGGGTCGGGCCAAGCCCGCCTCGGGCTGTAGTCGGGTTTCGGGCCGCCCACGGGCTACGGGCCAATTTTATACTCTTATCAATGTGAATGTTAGCATGTCAATGTGAATATTCACATTGTCAACAGGCCGGGTCGGGCCCGCCCTGAGCCGTTGGCCAATTTTATACTCTTATCAATGTGAATGTTAACATGTTAATGTGAATATTCACATTGTCAACAGGCCGGGTCGGGCCCGTCCCGGGCCGTCCACGGGTTTCGGGCAGCCACGAGGCGCGGGTAAATTTTACACTCCTATCAATGTGAATATTCACATTGTCAACGGGTCGGGCAGGGCCCGTCCCGGACCGCGGGCAGGCTTTTGGCCGCCCATGGGCCGCTGGCCAATTTTTTACTCTTATCAATGTGAATGTTAACATGTCAATGTGAATATTTACATTGTCAACGGGTCGGATCGGGCCCGCCTTGGGCCGCCCATGGCCGCGGGCGGGTTTTGCGCCGTCACGGGACGCAGGCCAATTTTACACTCCTATTAATGTGAATGTTAATATGTCAATGTGAATATTCACATTGTCAACGGGTCGGGCCCGTCCCGGCCCGACTCAACTCAAATTTTTCCGGGCACCCACTAGAATCGACATGGGCCGGGCCCCTACACATTGACGATATGAACATTCACATTGACAGTGTAAACATTCACATTAGGGGTATTTTGGTAAGTATGTCACCCATAGGACTTATTGAAACATAAAAAAATAATGTGAACTAAATGGAACATAAGTAGATGAAAAGGGTATTTTGGTCTTGTTATCTCAAATAGGACCTAATGGAATAGTCAAAAAGAATATGGGTCGGATGGAATAAAGCTCTTAGAAAGTGGATTTATCAAAAAAACTCTCAAAAAATTAATCAAATCAAACACTTCAATTGCATTAATACAAAAATTAATAATAAAATATTTGATAATAGAATTTTCAATGCGTGTATTTGATTTATGTAATAAAGAAAAGATGAGGGGATTTTTTTTAAGGTTCCTGGTATTAAAATTTTATAGCATGAAAGACACCCAATACTTTCATAATGTCTAAAGTCCCTCAATATCGATATAGAAAAAACTCGACCTAAAGAATTTCTCAAAGAAATTAATTTCTCTCCACTTCTCAAAGAATTTCTCTAGACCTCCCAGAGATTTTCTCTCCACAGAAATTCTCTCTAGAGAAATTCTGAGAATTTCTCTGAACTTCCCAGAGAATTTCTCTATGTTTTTGACCAATTTTCTCTGGTTTGCTCATAATTTTCTCTATGTTTTTGATCAAACCAGACTGTAAGCCATTTAGACAACAACAAACCAGAGAAAATTGAACAACCGTCACAAATGAAAAACATATAAATCCTGAACTACTCAAAACCAAGAAAACTTCACTCAACTCAACGAGTCTTTGTCCCAAATACTCATGGTCGTTACATGGATCCATCTATTCCAAACCATGAAAATATTAAAAGATAACAAAACAAAAGAGAACGAAACTATTAGTCAAGAAGTAAAATTCATAATTCATAATTGATATATGTATATGTATTTATATTACATGGTAAATTTGCATTAGATACAATTCTAAAATTTTATATAGAAGGCTTGTTTCAGTCAAGTATCAGAATATTAATTGTCGAATGGTCTCATGAATGTAAATAGAAATTCCAACCCATCTTCATTCTTGGACTTTGCTTCTTAATATTGTGAAAACAGGTTTCAACTTTTATAACTACATCTCCTACGTATTGAGATAGAACCAACCCAAGCCAATGATGCTACCTCAACAAGCAATCATCATTCTACAGAAACTACAGTACCATTGTCAAATATGGTGTAAACCGCAAATATTATGGCTAGAAAGTTGTTCATGAACAAATTATTGTTTTGTCAAAACTAAAGCTTCATTTGTCTCAATGGAAAATAACAAATTAAAAGCCCATCCTCTGAAAATTTGATCTAGATAAAATTGCCAAATCTAGAGAAAATTACCAAATCCAAAGAAAATTCAAGGGTAATCCAGAGAAAATTTCCAAATCTAAAGAAAATTCAAGGGTAGTCCAGAGAAAATTACCAAATCTAGAGAAAAGTAGCCAAATCCAAAGAAATTCCGACAATCCAGAGAAATTCAACACTGTCAACACAAAATTTCTCTGACTTGTAGGAAACATTGTATTCAACACTGTCAACACAAACAATATATGCATACATATATATATATATATATATATACATTTATCAACAATGAGGTGATAGAATTAACTAATTTTTCTTTTGAATCTGAAGACGTTATAGATTCTGTGGACTGTAAGACATTTTCTCTGGACTTTATGCTAGGCGATTAGGATGTGATTCTTCCATTTCAGTGCTTAATTTGCCTTAATTTTGCCAATTTATAATGCCAAGAACAACCTATATCCTCTTCACTTGTAGTTTGACTAGGTGTGACTGCAACATCAGATAAGACTTCATCGCTGTTACTTTCTCTACTCTCTTTTACATCAGTCTCCTGCTCAAGAAGCATCGTTGAAGATTGCATCTCACGGTCACCAACATTTGCTTCTTTTGGTGAATCTGTGAATGTCTCAGATTTAATATGGAAGAAATCACCTTCTGAACCATTCACACTGCTGTTCCCAACAACAAGTTCCTTAGTCTTGATGTTGGAACTTACCACCGAATCAGAGTTATAGCTTGACAAAATATCAATGGACATAGCATTTCCTAACAAATTGGTTTTAGGCAATAGATCGAAACCATTTCGTATCTATCTCTTCGTATCTTCTTCACCAGAGTTGTGATTTTCTTTGGTTGAGATTTTAGAGAGAGAAATGGGAGAGGAGAGAGAAGCGTTGGAAGAATCAAGAGATGGTCTGGTCTCTCTGGAGATGATGATGATGATGATGAAGTCGAAGCTTTCATGCTCGACTCATTTGACATTTTGTCAAATTTCTGTATGATATATGAGGTCAGGATTGAGAAACTTTAGACATCATAAAATAATATTATGGACTTTATCCATTACTAAAAATGAGATAGGGACCTTACACTAATTTTCTCAAAAGATAATAACATGTTCATTAAAATTAAAAAATAAAAATTGGGAACCGACTTTAATACGTTTGTGTGTGAGTGAAGCATGAAGTCGGTGTGAGTCCAGACTCCATACCAAACTCTCCCTCTTATGAGAGAGAAAAAGAAGACGTAAATGTAAATACAAATACTACAACAAATAAAGACTCTCTTTTATCTGAAACTCTCAATCTCATTTCTCTTTTGCAATTCTGTGTTTGGTAACAAAGATGAGTGATCCAAAGTATGCTTATCCCTACCCTGCTCAAGGTACAACCTTCTTCCCACCTGTATCTAATTTTTTTTTTTAATGTCTATATATATATATTATTTTCGTGTTTCTTAGAACAATTCATTTCTTTGTCTCCATATGTTTATTTCAAACGATTTTTAAGATTTCCACTTAAATGGGTTTTCACTTTTCACTTTTATTTTTTATGTTTCAAAACTAATTTCATTTTTTCTCTGTTCAAGTTTTTTTCTCTCTTTTTTATGTTTCCCAAAAATGTACATGTTTTCCTTTACTTTTTCCTGTTTTCCTTTTTGGGTTGCTTGATTTTCACTTAAAGATAAATGAGTTTTTATTTTTATTTTTTATTCCTATGTATTTTTAGGGGGGTTTTGATGAGTTTTGTATTGGGGTTGATCTCTCTTGTAAGGTTACTGCCAAGGACCTCCAGTAATGGCACCTCCACAATATGCTACTCCACCTCCCAGACAACAACCTGGTTTCCTTGAGGGATGGTATTTCCTCTCCCTCTCTCTCTCTCTCTCTCTCTCACTTGATTATTGGTGGTAGTTGTTCATTTGCATCATATCCATTTAGACAAAAAAATAAAAAATGAAGATTTTTGGATTGGGAATTTGAATAGCCGGATCGAATAGGATGTTTGAACTACACTACTCACTCTAGATTCATAACATCCCCAAACTTTCACTCCAGTGATCTGTGTGAACCGGATATGACCTCTCCGTTTTAGGTTCATATTTCATTTTATGTTACTAGTCTTCCACACTTTCTATGCACAGGTTGTGTTATTATTTGTATATATACGAATTGTGATTTTTAATTTTTGGGCAATTACCAACACTTCTCTCGATGTTTGACTAAAATATAGATTCTCTCATGAGATTTGAGAAATTACATGTCGCCCCTGAGATTTATATTTTCATAACAAATTGCATCATGAGGTTTATATTTGCATAACAAATTGCTCCCTCATTTGTTATGCAAATATAAATCTCAGGAGATAATTTGTAATTTTCCAACCTTCAGGGGGAATCCGTATTTTAATCAAATCTCGAGGGGTGTGTTGGTAGTTTGTCCTTAATTTTTTTTATTATTATTATTATTTTTTTTGTGTACACAAGAAAAAGAATATGACAAATACAGCATATCTTCAAGAAATTATTTTATGTTTGCTTTTATTAAAAATTTAAAAATAATGTACGGGTAAAATTTATAACTAAATTAAGAAAAAATTTATTCCTAACGACCTTTTTTTACTTCTATATAAATACTTAAAAAAATAAATCTGAAAAAGGTAATCAATATAAATATTATACATTAAGTAAAAAAAAATGTGGTTAACAATTATGCTTACATAAATTTACTATAGTTTTAATTTCAAATTAAAAAAAAATTTATTTTAAAAGCATTTTATTTAGCTAGTACCAAAAAAGAAAGTTATAAAATTTTGTTGTAAATTTTCAAATGTTTATTATTAAACATTCTATTCTACTTGTTTGTTTGTTTGCTTACTTGCTTTGGGAGTCTTGATCTTTCATCTTTGCACCACATTCATCATATTGTTTTATTTATTTTTCTTTTTCTTACTTGATTTTTGCATGATACTTCTTTCATAGTATATCTCCGAGTATATTAGTGAAAATATCATACACTTACAATGCACAAAATTACAATTTATAGAAAAAAAAAGTAAGTAATTACCCAAAACTAAAACTATTTTAAGAAAAAATAAAAAATAAAAACAAAAATAAAATTGTTTAAAATAGAAAATGATTTATTTATTTATTTATTAATTTTTTAAAATAAACTTTTAAAGGGAAAAAAAAGAAAAAGAAAACTATATATATAAAAAAAAGTATAGAAACTAAACATAAAATATAATACAAAAAATAAATGAATTACAGGATTTTTAAAAAGTGAGACTTACAAACAAATTTTGTAAAATCTTGTCTATTCATATACTTTTTGTGTATATTTTTTGTACTTGTAATTCTAGGAATGACATTTGCACTTCTTGTATTAGGTCCATCTAATAACTTTAACAAGCACATATGTAATAAATTTCATAACACAAAGTACAAATAATTATGAGACAAAATATCTAAAAAAAATGAAAGTAACGTTCAATGATGATGTAGAAACACACTTGGCATTATAATTGAAGGTATAACTAGATAAATCGCCATAGAAGATGAAGACAACCTTTATTTTTCATCATAACAATTACATAACTCAATATATAATTTTAATGTCTCTCACTCTTTCATATATCCAATTCTCTATCAAAACTAGAATGCATGCATGAACCAAAAAAAGGAAACATTTGAGAAAACAAAAAGATGTGATTTGAGACCTTTCAATTGTTGAATTCTATTAATTAATAGTTTTTAGGTTTCAATAGTCGGGTTTCTAATATTTGTTGGCTTTTAAAATTGAGTTCTTTAATTTTATCTATATTCACTTGATAATTTAAAATTGAACACATGTCAAGCCTTTACACAAATACTTGGCACATTTGTTGAGCATTATTAATGAAATGTACAATGTAATTTTTTTTTCATAATTGCAACCTGTTATTTTTTAATGAAATGCACTGTGTAATTTTTTTCTCAATTGTAACCTGTTATCTTTTAATAAGAATTTATATTTATTTTAGATATTTTTTTAATTTACAAATTATTTTTTACAGTGTAATTTTTTTTTTCTTTTTTTCGCAATTGCAACCTGTTATTTTTTTTAATAAGAATTTACATTTGTTTTAGATTTTTTTTTAGTTTAGAATTTTTTTTTTTTTTAGATTTTAATGAAATGCACATAGTAATTTTTTTTTCTTTTTTTTTTCACAATTGCAACTTGTTATTTTTTAATAAGAATTTATTAGAAAAAAAAAGTAAGTAGTTGCCCAAAACTAAAATTATTTTAAGAAAAATAAAATAAAAACAAAAATGAAATTATTTGAAATAGAAAATGATTTATTTATTTGTTAATAAATTTTTAAAAACAAACTTTTAAAGAAAACAAAGAAAAACTACATTTAAATAAAAAAAAGTACATAAACTAAACATAAAATATAATACAAAAAATAAATGTATTATAGGATTTTCAAGAAATGAGACTCACAAACAAATTTTGTAAAATCTTGTATATTTATATACTTTTTGTGTATGTTTTTTGTACTTCTAATCCTGATAATGACATTAAAATAATTTGCACTTCTTACATTAGGTCCATCTAATAGTTTTAGGAAGCACAAATATAAAAAACTTCATAACACAAAATACAAACAATTGTGAGACAAATTATCTAAAAAAATGAAAGTAACGTTCAATGATGATGTAGAAACACACCTAACGTTTTAATTTGAGGTATAACCAAATAAATCATCATAGAAGAGGAAGACAACTTTTATTTTTCACTACGACAATTACATAAATCAATATATAATTTTAATGTCTCTCACTCTTCCACACGTTCAATTGTTTATCAATATTAGAATGAATGCATGAACAAAAAAAAAAGTGAATATTTGAGAAGACAAAGCGATGTAGTTTGAGACCTTTCAATTGTTGAATTTTATTAATTAATAGTTATTAGGCTTCAATAGTCGGGTTTCTAATATAAGCTGAGTTATTTGGTTTTATCTATATTCACTTGATAATTTGAGAGTGGACACGTGTCAAGCTTTTACACAAATACTTGGCACATTTTTTGAGCATTATTAATGAAATGCACAATATAATTTTTCTCTTTTTTTTTTTTCACAATTGCAACATGTTATTTTTTAATAAGAATTTGTATTTGTTTTAAATATTTTTTTAATATAGAAATTATTTTTTTTAGATTTTAATGAAATACGTAGTGTAATTTTTTTTTCTCTTTTTTTTGCAATTGCAATATGTTATTTTTTAATGAAAATTTATATTTAGAAAAAAGAAAGTAATTGAAATAGAAATAGAAAACAAAAATAAAATTATTTGAAATATAAATTGATTTATCTATTTATTAATAAATTTTTAAAAATAAACTTTTAAAGAAAAGAAAGAAAACTATATAATGATTTTTTTTTTATACAAAAACTAAACATAAAATATAATACAAAAAATAAATGAATTATAAGATATTCAATAAATGAGGCTCACAAACAAATTTGGTAAAATCTTGTCTATTCATACACTTTTTGTGTATGTTTCTTTATACTTCTAATCCTGAGAATAACATTGAAATAGTTTGCACTTCTTGCATTAGGTCCATCTAATAGTTTTAGGAACACAAATATAAAAAGAAAATCATAATACAAAACACAAACAATTGTGAGACAAAATATCTAAAAAATGAAAGTAACGTTCAATGATAATGTAGAAGCACATTTGAGGTTTTAATTAGAGGTATAACCAGATAAATCATCATAGAAGAGGAAGACAATCTTTATTTTTCATTACGACAATTACATAACTCAATATATAATTTTAATATCTCTCATTCTTCCACATGTCCAATTCTCTATCAATATTAGAATGAATATATGAACAAAAAAAAAGGAACATTTGAGAAGACAAAGAGATGTGGTTTGAGACCTTTTAATTGTTGAATTCTATTAATTAATTGTTATTAGGTTTCAATGGTCGCGCTTCTAATATTTGTTAGTCATTAAAGCTGAGCTCTTTGGTTTTATCTATATTCACTTAATAATTTGAGAGTGGATATGTGTCAAGCCTTTACACAAATACTTGACACATTTTTTTAGCAATATTAGTGAAATGTACAGTATAATTTTATTTTATTTTTTTGGCAATTGCAACTTGTTTTTTTTTTAATGAAATGCACAGTGTAATTTTTTTTTCCCGCAATTGTAACCTATTATTTTTTAATAAGAATTTATATTTGTTTAGATTTTTTTTAATATACAAATTATTTTTTACTGTGTAATTTTTTTTTCTCTTTTTTTTCGCAATCGCAACTTGTTATTTTTTAATAAGAATTTATTTTGTTTTAGATATTTTTTTAATAGAGAAATTATTTTTTTTAGATTTTAATGAAATGCACAGTGTAATTTTTTTTCTTTTTTTGTGCAATTGCAACATGTTATTTTTTAACAAAAATTTATATTTATTTTAGATTTTTTTTAATATACAAATTATTTTTTACAGTGAAATTTTTTTTCTCTTTTTTTCGCAATTACAACCTGTTATTTTTTAATAAGAGTTTATATTTTTTTATAGATTTTTTATAAAAATAATTTAACAATCCCATCACTATAGTGTATGGAAGAAGTTGAAAATAGTGTGGCAGTAGGTATGTGAGAAGTCAATAAATGCAGAAGTTTTTTTTTTAAATTAAGAAAATTAGAAAATTAAGATTGCGATATTGAAACTCCCACAAGGTTTGTAGGTTAGAAATCTCATTTTTTTTTAGAAATGCTGTGTACCTCAAATATTTTACCAAGCCGGGTGGGATTTACACAAATCCGTATGTGTGTGGGTCTCATATCCATCTGAGAAATTTAATAGAATATTTGAGATTCCTAACCTAACTTATTTTCTTTATATAATAATATTGATGTTTGCGAGCCAGATTGAACTTTGGTCAATCCCAAATCTAATGTGTTAGATAGAAAAGTAGATTTTTGGATTTTTTTTGTTGTTGGTACTTATGGATTAATCGTCTCTTCCAATGTATATCCCTAAATGGGGGATTAGTGATTCTACTATATGGGACGAGCATGTGATACAAAGTGGATGATTGACGGTGATGGCCAGACTAAGGGGTTAAAATATTAAAATATCTTTAAAGTAATTATTAATCATGTAATTCATGTCTAGTGATTTCAATTAAACAAAATATGATAAGATTCTATTAATCTTTCCTTATAAATTATAGACATTTTAAACATAAATTTGATGTCTAATTCTAAATAATCGATAATCCCAAAACTAGTAGTCTCATATAATCTAGAATAATGTTTTTTTAAATTTATTTTTGTAATTTTTGGAATTTGTAGATGTGTGTGGAGATTTGTAATTTTGGGATTGTGATTTTGCAGTCTAGCAGCTTTGTGTTGCTGTTGCCTCATTGATGAGTGCTGCTGTTGTGACCCTTCCATCATCTTCATCGGCTGATATCCTTCTCTGTGTCCTTCTTCATCACCTGCAAATAAATAATTCTTTTCATTTTTTTTTTTTCTTCTACTTATATGTATGTGTCTAAGATTTGCAAGTGTTCATCTGGGATTACTTAAATTGAAAGTTTGGTGCATTGAGACTTCTTCTCTATCTACATCATATAATATTTGAGATGGTGTTTGTGTTTCCACTTTGTTGAATTAACTTTATTATCATTTCTACATCCTCAAGACATCTCATTAACTCTTATTTTCTTTTATTTATTTTTTACCAATTTTTTTTTTTTTTTTTTTTTTTTTTTTTTGGGTTATTTTGTTGAATTTTCTAATTACAAATTTATCTTAGTTTTTTGGGTGGGTTAATTATTTCAAGACTTTTTCAATTATTAGTGAATATTAATTTTGGAATTTGTAAATGTGTAATATGTTTTCTGGATTTTTTTTTTTTTGGAAGAATTTTCTTTAAAGGGGTTATCATCAATTAAGATGTCATAATTAATGCTTATATTTTCTTGACAGGCACAACCCTTCGGTCATTGAGGTTGTTGTCTAGGCTTCACTTTTTCAAACGATTTTGAAATTTTAAATGCTAAATCAAATCATACTTATCCAAAAAGCCAAACAAATAAGTAATGAGCTAGATTTTAAAAGGGGACAAAATAAATTATAGAGAAAAGAAAGAAGAAGAAACGCTCTTTTGAATATCTAATAATCGAGGTTGTAAATTACAAATTTTAATTGAGTAATGTTAGGAATATCAAAATTTCTACCAAATACAGTATTTAATAAAAATTTTAATAAAATATTTGAAATCTCTAATATTTTTCATTTTAATTTTTTTTTTTAAAAAGAGAAAAAATCAAAAGGTTGATTCACGGGTTCGCAGCCAATCCCTTCACCTAGTCCCCGCACCGCACCCTTCGCTGGCAGAGGTCCTCCCTCCGGTCCGGCCCTATGTCCTTCATCCTGCTATGTCACGCCAATCTCCATCCCTCACCTTATCTTACTCAAATTGTGTCAATACTTAAATTTTATTTTGTCAACAATGTGAAAATATTATGGCCATGTTAATTAACGGGGTAATTCATTTGGCTCGAAATCATGTGCTTTGTTAAGATGTTAGTAGTTTAAATTTTTTACTTATTTTTTGTGCATTTGTTGGGGTTATCTTTCTATGATGCAAAAAATTGTACGACTATGATGAATTACCTTTGTTATGTAGTTTATAGATAAAAAATATCATTAGTATGTGTTATGATTTTTTATTTGAAAAATGCTTGAAAGCACTAATTTGACACCACCAATCTATCCCTGATGATATAGAATGAATCATGTGAAGAGATAGACTCACACTCCTCTCTATATTTTCTTTCTCTTCCACGTCATTTGGGATAGATTAAGGATGCTATATTAGTGGGATATAGTATTATTGTTTTCATTTATCAATAGTTATATATAAACAATGTCATATAGAGTACCTCATAATTTTGTCATGATGAAGGATAAAGGGTTGTTTAGGGTTGATTTTTTATGACTTTTTGACTTCATAGCTTTTTTATGAGTTAAAAAAATTAATTTGTTTGAAATATAGTTAAATTAAAAAAAAAAATCATGAGAGAAAAAGTTAATGTGACATCAAATTCTTTTTTTCATTGATGATAAATAAACTTTTTGAATTTATAATTTTTTAAGTCAAAAATTATTATTACTATTATTTTTTAATTCAAACCACGACTTTAGCAAAAGTCATGTATATTTTGAATAATTTTATATCTACTAACAATCTTACTAAAAATATAAAAAAAAAAAGTCAAATATGATTGTTTGTAAAAAAAAAATAATATTTAACCATCTAATGATATTTAGACATATATACTTTTAATAAGATTATTAATAAGAGTTTAAATAAATTTCTCATATATTTTTAGTTCATTATTTGATTCCGGGTAAAAAGGAGAGCATTATAGTGTGGGAGACACTAAACAATATGATATTTGGTGAGCAAGGCAATGAATTTTGAACTAATTAAATATTTCCTTAATCTTTGAAAATAAAAATGGCCTTGCATCAACACCAAACTAACATGTCATTTCTTAGGGGTTGATTGGCATGTATTATTTTAGTATATATTTTTTTATTTTATTTAGATCATATCACATTTTATTATATTACAAATCTTTTTGTAAAAAATCAAAATATAAATTTAAGCCTATTTTGAAAAGTAAGTTAGAAGTTAGCCTATTGAGTTTTTGGCATTTTTATATTACATTATCTCCTATTTTTTTACATTTTTAAAAAAATTAATTTTTAACTTACTTTCTAAAATAAACTGCAAGGCAAGTAGTAATATTTGAAAAAATGCTTGGTAGCTCGAATTTGTGTAATTCGAATGGCCTGAATTAGGGGTGAGCATCGGATATACTGATCCGCCAAAACCAACCGAGCCGAACCGATCCGCCGCATTTTGGACGGATGCGTGATGACGAGCGGACGGTTGCGGATTGATTTTCTTCAATCTGCCAATTTGGCGGACGGATGGCGGATTTGAGATTCCTTTGGCCGCAACCGAACCGCCAAACCGCAAGCATCCCTAACAATTTATAAGACTTTTATGTTTTTAATTTGCTTAAATATTTTGTTTGTGTTTTCAATTGAAAAATAGTTTAAATATTCTGTTGAAAAATTTTTTTCAACTTGAACATATTTTTTGAATTGAAAAAAATAAAAATATTATTTATCTATATTTTTTTGTTTTTAAATTTAATTCTAAAAATAATAAATAGAAAATATGATATATGCTGGTTGGTTTTCGTTTTCAAAAACATAAATAGATGTAACAATACAGAGATATACAAACTCTACTACTGTCCTGTTCATGATTTTGGTGGTTTGAATTGTTATTATATTTTAAGAATCACATATTGTAATATTTTATGTGGATAAATCATATTGTGATTGTAATATGTGGATGAATCATATTGTGATTGTAATATGTGAATGAGCCATGCAGTGATTGTGATATTCTAAAGTTTCAAACTTTCTTTTTTTGGATGAGACATACAGTGATTATAATAGTTTTTTAAGTCATTGATTGTAATACTTTTTTTTTTTTTAAGGAAGTGCACAAGTTGAATTATGTTGAAAATTTATAAAATCTTAAACCGCCAAACCGATTCGCATCCATCCGCCAAACTGCCAATCTGCTCAATCCACATCTGCCGGATTGGCGGACGGATGCGGATTGATTTTCTCCAATCCGCCAATATGGCGGACGGATGGCGGAGGTTCCGTGGTCGCAACCGACCCGTACCCACCCCTAGCCTGAATATATTAAAATGATGTCATTTTGAGTCATTTAGATTATAAAAATTTGAGCTACCAAATATTATTGATGTATTTGACATCCTTGTGCACTCCACCCAAGTTACCATTTGTTTAGGTGACATCTGGCATCGCGCTATCCATGTCAAATTTGACGTATGAGGAAAGGATTGTCAAATTTATTTGTTTTGCTTTTTTTTTTTTTTCAATTTATATTATTAAGTGGGTAAATTACACTTTGTCCCCTAAAGTTTCACCTATTTTTTATTTTGACCTTTTAAATTTCATTTTTCCCACTTTGGCCCTTTATGTCTACAATCCTTCTCACTTTAATCTTTCATGTTTGCAATTATTTCCACTTTAGCCCTTTAAATTTAATTTTTCTCACTTTAACCCTTCATGTTTGTAATCATTTCCACTTTGATCATTTATGTTTGCAATCCTTCCCGCTTTACTCCTAAACTAACTTTCATCCAAAAAAGTAACAGAATTTATTACATCACTAACACATCAGCTCCATGTGTGATCTAAAAAATTCATTAAAGATGCAAAAAGTAAAAAATAAAACACAAAAAAATTGAATTTTTTTTTTAGTCTTTAGTGAACTTTTTTTTTCACATTTATGCATAAACATTATTACATTATGGATGCATCTAAATTAGATACAGCTAAAAAAATAAAAAATAAAATAACTAAAAAAAGAAAAAAAATTCACTAAAGACAAAAAAAATGATAATAAATTTTTCATTTCAAAATTGACAATACAGGTATTTGAGTTAGTATGTTTTCATTTTTTTCGTCTTCAGTAAGCTTTTTTCTTTTTTTTAGTTAAATTTGTTTTTATTTTTCTAGCTACATCTAATTTAGATGCATCTATAATGTAATAATATTTCTGAATAAATTTGAAAAAAAAAAGTTCACTAAAGACTAAAAAAAATTCCAATTTTTTTGTTTTCTATTTTTATTTTTTGCATATTTAGTGTTGGTGTTCATAACACATTTTTAAATATTTTATTTTTATTTATGGATCTTGGATTTGGTCTGCAACAGCAAGCATATCTTTTTGAGTGTCTGTTAAAACATTAATACTACTAGGTTCTCCTAAGTGTAAACCATTCATTTCCACTATGGATTTCCAGTAATTAATTTCTGATATTTGTTCCTGATTGGTACTACAGGGACAGGGTTTTTCTGGTTCATCTTCATTTGATGAAGTAGAATATAACTGGTTAAGCTCATCATCAGAAGGGATTTCGTTATCAGTTGAATTTTCTTCTGCTTCTAAAGCTTGAATTAACTGTTCTTTAATGTCGGGAGCAAGGTTTAATTCATTAACCTTAGATTTTGCTTTAGACTTGCATCTGTTAGCATAATGTCCTGTTTGGCCACATTTGTAGCATTTAACTTCTGATTTAGATTTTCCTTTTTGTTTACTGGTAGATCTTTTTGGATAAAACTTCTTGGGAGGTTTCGGGTGGCTAGTCTTAGAGAAATTTTTTCTGTATGGTTTGGAAGATTTTTTATGAGACATTTTTTTGGTTTGGTTAGGATATTTTATGCCAGGTTCATAAGCAAACTGTTCGCAAAATTCTCCTAATTCTTTTCTTCCTGTTAAATTCTGTTGCTTCATTTGATAATGAAGTTTAAGGTCATTATAGAGAGAAAGACCTTCATCTGTTATTATGGAACATAGCTGTCCATAAGTGTACTGCTCATAAGGAATAGACATCCGGTCATGGCGGTCCCGAAGTTTTTTCCTAACTCGTTCGGCAAAGAGGGTAGGAAGGCCATCAATAAATTTGGCTTTCCAATGAGTACTGTTAGCATCAGGGCGTTGAGTAACCTTTAGAAGGAAAACATATGATTTATTAATAAAAGGACTTATTTGTTACGAAATTAGAAACCTTAGG